TGGTCGATGCTGCGCGCGCCGCGGCGGAGGGGTGGGTGAATTATGTCACGGCGGACCGCGTCGTTGCGAGGAGGTGCGTGGTCGCGTGGTTCGGCGTGCTTTGATGCTTTGTAGGCTGGAGGCTGAGTGAGGTGACGGTGCAGGCATGAGTATTTGGGCCCGGACCCGCGCGTCGCGGGGTACTGGTACGACGTGACGGGCGAGATCCATATATACTGGCTGGATGGATTCTTGGGGGATCAGTGGGTGGACAAGACAAAGTGGAGCACTATGCAGGTGGTCATGGATGAGAAGGGGAACTGGGTGGAGAAGGACTACTGAGTGGGCTGGGCCCGCGATGGACACGACGACACGAAAGTAAAATAAATCCAGTGTATCATAGACGGATGCCCGGGGGTGAATCCAGGGATAAGCTGCCCTCGGTCACCAGAAATGAGCGGTAGCATAGGCCAGGTTCAAAGTGTATAGAATGGGAGGTAGTCATGATGGGGGATTTTGCTTCCGTCGAAACCAGCGCTTGTCGCCGAAAATCAAACTCCGCGGCGATATTCCCGCCGAGCCGGCATCGGCAAGCATCCGCCGCACTTCAAGTCCTCCTCGAGTCGAGTCGTTCAAAACCATAAAAGCTGCCAACTCCAACCAGAGAAGAGCAGATTTCATTCGGCACACACCAAAAACAGAATCCGAGTCATCAAAAATAATCTACGTGGGGTGTCGTAAACGATGCAATGCGATGCTAATGCTAGGGGTGTAATAATTAGGCTACACAACGCGAGTGGGGAGGTAGTAGCCTCAAGTGTAGGTGTAGAGTACCAAGAATGACAATGCTGCTGCTCGTGACCAGACGTGTCCGCCGTACAACACGCTCTCTATCTATATGTATGCACACTCCTTCACGCCTTACGCCTTCTGCGCCGCATCCGCTCCCCCCGCCGGCACAGCATTCGCAACCCCGTTCACCGCCGCTCCCGAGTCGCCCTCCTTCCGCTGCACATCGCTCTTCTCGTGCAGCGTGCTCTCCCTGCGGCTCGCGTCCCGGCTCCGCTCGGCCTCCTGGCGGTCGCGCTCGTCCTGCAGCTCGACCGCGTGCTCGCGCTCCGCGCGCACGCTGTAGAACACGAGCGTCGCGAGCGCCTCGGCGCAGATGAGCGCGAACACGAACCAGTACGCGTCGCGGCGGCCCACGAAGGAGTCGTTCCCGCCGTTCTGGTCGTCGATGGTGTTCGTGATCGACTGGACGGACGCGAGGCCGACCGCCGAGCCGAGCTGCAGCGCGCCGTTGTAGATCGCGCCGACTGTGCCGGCCATGGAGGGCGGGGTCGTGCGGAAGATGGCCACGCTGCGCATGGAAGGTCAGTATGAATGTACATGGAAGAGGTGATGGGAGACGACGCACTTGGTATGTGTGTAGATGAGCTGCGCACCGGCGGCACCGATGACGAAGGCGGGGAATACGAAGCGCCAGTACTTGTCAGGGCCGTTCGAGAAGGTGAGGAGGATGGCGGCGATCATGATCAGGATTTGGCCCGAGAGGATAAGCCATTTCGGGCTGATACGGCGTGAAAGAGGTCCTGTGAAGCTAACGAGGAAGGCCATTACACTACTCGGGATACTGTGGGCAGCAGTCAGCTCAGTGATGTCGTGGGATATGCGGATAGGACGCACAGATGGACGGCAGAGGAGATCGCAGAGCGGTGGTACGACTCTTGCCAGAGGATAGTAAAGAGCGTCGAGATCGTCGCCCACCAGAAGAACGGAAAGAGCGCGGCGGCGAAGACGACGGAGAAGTTCGGGTAGAACCATGTGTGCGGTGGGCTACATGGCGTGATATCGTCAGCACCCGGGAGACAAGATAGCACAGGAAGGGGGCATACATGGAAGATCGCTCGACGGGGATGCGGGTCTCGTAGACGAAGAACGCTACAATCATGAGCACCGCGATGAACAGAGGCACGAGGACCTCGGCCGTTGGCCACCCATCCGTGGATCCAGAGATGACCGCAAAGATGAACAGAATCAGGGCCGCTGAATTATCCCTTTGTTATTGAGATCGTCGAATAATCCACAAATGAATTCAGCTCACCAGTCAGAATAGACACGCCGATGATATCAAGACGGTGGAATTTATCCTTCCACGGAAGCCCATCGAGCTCGCGCTTGGGCGTGACGGGGATGAGGAAGACAGTGAGGCCTGCGATGGGCAGCGCGACGATCGTCACGAACCAGAAACACCAGTGCCAGGTGGCAAACTCGACGAAGATACCGCCAACGACGTAGCCCAGCACTATCACCAGGGTTAAATGAGGAGATAGAAAAATTGCAATGCCGTACGCACCGTTGCCAATGGCACCGCACCCGCCGAAGGCACCGATTGCGCGGGATTGTTCATCCACGCGCGGGAACAGGGTGACGATGAGCGAGAGCGCGGAGGGGATGGTCATAGACCCCGCTGCGTAACGTTATCAGTGCCGGCCGCAACAAGTATAAAAAATAAATACGTACCGATGCCAGAGAACGCACGGAGGACAATAAGCGGGATTTGTGAATTGAGAAAGCCCGCACCGAGCGAGATTAGGCCGAGAGCAGCAATGCCAATGATGAAGGTCCATTCTGTCGATCAAATGCCATCAGTCGGGTCTGCGGGCACCGGACATCTGCGCTCGGAGATCTCACTGGGGCTGTATACGTCACTGATCCTGCCACTCTGCAGGCGCGACATGCATGAGAAACTTCCGGAGACGGCGTGCAATGGGAGCACGTACGATGAGCAAAAAGGAGCCGAATGTCAGACTGAAGGCGCTGATGATCCATGTGGACTCGGAGTTGCTCATGTTGAGGGACACGGAGAGGGTGGGGATGGCGGAGAAGAGGGCGGAGTAGTTGAACGTGTCGAGGAACTGGGCGAGGCAGAAGAGGATGAGAAGCGCGACTCTGCGCGTCATGGAGAACTGCCGCGAGAACTCGTCGGGGGAGAGCTCGCGTGCCTTTTCGGTGTCCATCTGGGACGGAGACGGGGACTTGGATGGCGAAGACATGGAGAGCGTCGGGGACAGAGAGCTCGCAATGGTGGGAAGGGCCGTCGAGAAGCATGGTGAAGGTCGAGGCTTTAAGTAGTTGAAGATATCGGGCTCTGGGAGAAGCAGACGGAGCGCCGGTGATGCTGTCACGACCGGACGGCAGTGGGTCGACGCTCGTCCAGGAAAGGAAATCGATATGGCATGCAAGGGACTCGAGCTCCCCCGTGTCCTGCGCAGCACTCACGTTCTGAGACCTGTTCACAACGCACAAAGCCCACATCACCCGCTTCGGTGCCTCCAGCCGTGGACTGGGCGTTCACACACCATCTCGAACCGGCATGGCGGAACACGCGGTCCAATCAGAATATTGCACGCACCGACACCCACAGCCGTCAACAACGCCAAATACCGCTCGCTAAGCCCTTTCTAATGGTCTCTGTAAGCCTGCAGAACGCTCCGTCAGCGCGCCCCGTCTCACTTGGCCATTCCAGATGTTCACATTCCATTCCACCGTGTTGGTGGCGAAGCATAGTGTATCCACAACCTCGTCATTGAGGTGTACGTGGAGGGCGCCGCACGCCGGAAGTCATCCTAGAGTCCAGATGACAGAGAGGTTTAACAGATCTGTAAGACTGGCGAAAGTGCCTCGGCGCCTGTTGGACCGGCGGCATCGACCGATACGAATCTCACCCTACCGTAACGTGTTGCCTTCGACCATGCTGCTGCGCCACGACGCTCGCTAGCCCGGGTACCTTCATATGGTCGTCAGCAACGCCCAGCACGCATGATTCAACCCAGGACGGACGATACCTTGCATATATCCGGCCTTCAAGAAGCATACGACACACGCCCCCTGCGTCCGGCGCCACAGTCGACATATCGTCCGTTCAGCCTAGCAAGAATTGCGCCGCGCAGATGGAACAGACTATGCAGGGCCAGTGGCCGGGATTGCACGTATACGATCGTGCATATGGTATAAGGCCAGATCGGATCGTGCCTGCACCAGCAACGGGATGAAGCCACCCAGACGCCGAGAGATCAGCATGTCCGAGCTTAATCACCCACAGCTTCTCCCAAAATCCGAGTAGCATACCGTTGAATCAGAAGACGTTGTGCCTTTTGAAGATACAAGAGGGTGCTTTGGGTGCCAAAGCAGATTGGTGAGCACGCTTTGTGGACTGCTTCATTGGTGTCGACTTACGAAGCTGGATATCTGTCCTCGTATCTCGGGCCTTAAGAGTGTGGTGTATCGCTGCCTTGTGATGTGCCCCTGCAAAAGAAAATGTCATATGAGGGAAAACGACTTCTTGGCGCTCGAAGCCTTGATGTATGCGAGCCGGGTGATCGAACACTATGATCTTCAAGTTCTCGACAACTTGCCGCCGACGGCATCATCCGTGTCCCTGTACCACAATGTAGAATGAGCAGGAGCTAAAAATGACAGGACTAAGAGGTGTTTACCGGATGCTTGGTGGTACGTCCGAATAACACGGTCTCTGATTCGCTTGCTCACAGTACGCGCGTTCATAGTGAATGACGTTGACATGGTCAGCAGGCGTCGTCGACAAAGGAAACCTTCCGCCAGAAGAACGAGGCTAGCGGAAGATATGAGAAAATAGGTTTGTGGACAAGAGGGCAGAGGGAGCTCTATATTGCCCAACGGAAAGGGGATGAAGGAGGCGCGCAGCGAGAAGAGGATGATTGCAAATCGCGTCTGGCGAGCACGTGCTTCGAATATGACATCACGTGTCGCGCGTTCTTTGGAATTGTTTCGAAGTCACCGCGGTCCGTGCGCCCTCCAATCTCCCATCGAATGACGGAGATGGCGGTCAGAAAAACAAAGGAATGATATGAAAGAGTCAATCTGGCAGAATGTCACACAAATGCTCGTCGACGTTCCCAGAAGTTCGATATCGTTTGAATCGAGGTGCTCGTAGAACACAGATGCCAGAGAAGGAAAAAGGGAAGGGTTACCAATTGTATTGCTCGGAATGAGGATCGAACTCATGACCTCAGGATTTAATTACGAAGTCGTAACTCATAACGTAATATGAGACCTGCGCTCTAACCAACTGAGCCATCCAAGCACGAAGAACACATCAACATTAACATATACGGGGCCGCTGGGAGTTCCTCCAGAAGAACGAAGCCGATCACGCAGGGAAAAAAGGGTACTGCCCCAGTGAGGCTCGAACTCACGACCTTCCGATTGCAATCGAAAGATAACAGTCGGACGCTGTAACCAACTCAGCCATGGGGCAGATGATAAGGACCCTTCGTAGTCATTCCCCAGGAGAAACGGATATTTGCACGGACCATGCTTGCAGGACTCTGTCACCTACCTAAAATACAAAGCAGAAATATCTTCCAGCGACCCTGACCAACCATTCTCAAATGACCAAAACGGCGAAGACACCCCACAAGCGAAGCCGTCTGAATAGAGGCCCAATACAACAGGTTCCTATTGGCCAGCCGCGGCTGCAAGCTCAGTTGCGATGCCGCTCGTAAGGAGGCTCGTGTCCACAGTCACGTTCACCTGTTCACAAAAGATAAAGATAAGTATGGTAGACATACAGGAGACTTGTTGAAAGACGCACCATGTCGAAGCCTTGCTTGGCGCGTTCGGCAGCTTGCGGACCAGTGACGCAAAGGGTGCCACTTGAAAAGATGTTCAGATGAGACGGCGACGTTCGCGACAATAAATCAAGGCTTCACGCGTACACTTTCTTTCCAGCCGCATGGCCGACCTCCAGGATGCGCTGCATGACCTTCTCGACCTCAGGATGCGGCTCAGGCGCAGGCGTCGGATAGCCCAACGAAATCGAGAGATCAAAAGGACCAATAAACAACGCATCTACGCCCACACTCGCGTCAGCGCCCCCGTCAAAGCCACAGCAAGACGAGCTCCAACGCAAACGTACCGACGCCCTCCACGGCCGCAATCGCCTCGACATTCTCGACCGCCTCGCGCGACTCGATCTGCACAATCACCAGCACGCTGTCGTTCGCGCCCGCGAGGTACTCCCCCGCACTCGTGCCCCATATCCCATGCGTGAACGGCGAGCCGAAGCCGCGCACCCCGCGGGGCGGAAAGCGCGCCTCCGAGGCGACCAGCGCGGCTTGCGCGGCGTTATTGATCTACGCAACACACACGTTCACGTAAAAACCGCGCAAACCGCGAACTTCAAGAGCCGACGCACCATGGGCACGAGCACGCCCCGCGCGCCCGCATCGAGCGCGTACTTGACCTGCCACGCGACCCCGCCGGGCCCGCTCGGCCCCGTCGCGGGGATGCGCACGAGCGGGCTCACGCCCGCGCCTGCGATCGCTGCGACGGACTCGGCCGCGCCGGGCTGCAGCGCGGTGAGCCCGTGCTCGCAGTCGATGACGATCCATGCGAGGTGCGGACTTGCTTGTGCGATGAGGCGCGCGTGGTGTGCGCCGGGGAGCGCGAGCCATGCGCCGAAGGCAGGTGTGGAGGATTGGAAGGCGCGGAGGAGGGGGTGGGAGGTCATTGTAGTGAGCGGGGCGAGGAGAGTGGTGAGGACGGTGTGTTTCAGAGGGGTAATTTGAAGGGCATTGACAAGTGCTAATTGATATGATCATGGGAACATGTTTGGTACAGGCGCTGCGATTGCGGTCCGGGTGACCAGTGGATACGCCCTGGATTCCCGAGATACTATAAGCTCTGATGAGTGACATGAAGAGCCTAAACATATGTTTTCGGCTTCAAAACATGCATAAAACATACCAGACGAGCGATGGGTTTGCTGGGCAAAGTATGGGCGGCAAGCATCGGAAGCGTGACGAAGCTATTCTATCCTTGTCTCGAGGATGACAGGAGAAACTAGAAAGCATTCGTACTTAGGTGTGTCATAGTGCACTCCTTGCGATATCGACGCACCTAGAGATCAGATTGGAGACAAGAGGTGCCTATCACGGAGGCGGCATCTCCTCTCGAGCGAAGAACTTGACGAAACTGAGATCCAGACAGCACATACTATGGATCAATGCCTCCATCAAGATGATACAGCAGGCTGCATGTATCAGAAATGACAGCCTTAGTGTCGAAGAGCGGGAAATTTGGGCTGCTCAATGACGGATCATGATCAGGAGAACAAGGCGCGTCGATGCTTCAACACCGCTCCGGCGCTTGCACGCAGACTTCATGTTTACATTCCATAAGCTGATCCCCACATCGTCGCACCTGGAGATAGGCAGCAACTAATTCAATATGGCTACTGCTTCAATACAAAATAGTGTCGATACCCTAAAGATCCATTGACCACCGCAGGGGTCGAACCTGCAATCTCCTGATTCGTAGTCAGACGCGATGCCATTTCGCCAGGCGGCCATAGTAAAGATCACATTATTGTTTGTCATTGCTCTCTCACTGAAGTGCATTCGAGGCGTATACATGTGAATGGAATTTGGGTGATATTCCGGGAATATTCTAGCTGTTTCCCACAAAGGAACGCACAAACGCAGCATCCTCAGGCGATAATTCTTGTTCGAACTGCTCATAGACAGGCCTTGCATTCATGAAGTTCCGTTCAATGATTCTTGTACGAGCAGCACTGCGCGGCTGAATATCGCAGACGAATGGCTTTGGGGCAAGTGTTGTACCCTTGAATGCGATGTCAACGGCCGAATTCATGTGGTCGACATATATAAAATTGCGCACCTGTACGAAGCTATTGATGTCTGCGGCGATGGGCACCTTTGTAACAGGATCGCGAGCGTGGCTGAAGTCGAATGCCCAGAGAAGATTCACAATATTCATTTTCTATATGGACCGAGAACGTCAGACATCGTAGTTCAATCTCACAGCAAACTTACTATTGAGGCCATCGCCAGATGTACGCCGACACAGAATCGCTAGATTATATATCAGCATATGATACCGTAATACCCAAAGATAGCATGCAAAGACTCACGCGCCCGTAGCCAAATTCTAATTCCTTGTCACGCCCAGCGTCATCCGCACCTGCCTTGGTCCCGAATTTAGATTCCATGAAGCGGTCCGGGTTGAAGCGTTCAGGATCATCAAACACCTCGGGATCGTGGTTCATACCCCCTATAAGGGTGTATGTGAGTATCCCAGTATGTCGCACACGAACAAGGGGAGAAAGAGGAGTCCGGCTAGCAAAGCTTACATATATTCACGAGTATGGTGGTATCCTTCGGTATCAGGTAATTCTCCACCTATCAAAAGGTTTCGTTGCATGATCTGTGCGCTCAGAAGAAATCTACGACTTACCACTTCATCCGCGGTCGTGTAGTGCGGGAGACACAGATGCAGCGGCGGCCTCATGCGGAAGACCTGTCAAAATTTCACGTGAGAAAGGTGTTTACCAGAAAACAGAACTTCTGTCCCACGTACTTCGCTCACAACTGCTTGTACGTACGGCAGACTCTCGAAATCCTCGAGGATAGGAGCTCGGTCTTCACCTACAACGTTGTCGACTTCGCGCTGTGCTTTCATTTGCACCTCCGGATGATTGACCATCATCAGCAAGAAGTGGAGGATGAATGTCGCTGTCGTTTCTGTGCCTGCTTCCATCATTATCCCGCAGAGGTACCTATAAGAGAATGCGTCAGACGCGGTATGCTTGTGTAGAGAAGAAACGAACGTGGCGGCCTCCCTGTCAATCCCCAAATCATCCAAATGAGCGACCACGTCTTCCATGAAGCTCCCGTTAGGTTCCTGTGTGGCTACACGTCGCTCGCAGCCCTCAATCAAGCCAAAATACAACCGGCGCTGTAGTGCGCGCACCTCACGCACGAGGAATTTCCAGCGCGCCCAGCGCTCGGGGACATACTTCAAGATGGGGAAGACGTCGACGGGAGGGTGGGCCGTCGGCTCCATCAGCCCTGACCATTTCTGGACAAAGTGGAAGCCGCCGGGCGGGCGGCAACACTAACTGGCGGGAACAGAACGGGATAAAGGCGTATATGGGAAGCGGGGGCAAAAGGTAGCTACATGAGATGCATGTCGGGGGGATCTACTTATAGTGCAAATGGAGCGGGCGTCGTGGAATGCATAAACAGGGAACGCGCAACCAGCACGTGGTTGCCTAGGAGAGACACGTGGTAACCTCACAGGGTTACACTCTTCCCCCCTGGGAAGAAAAGCGAGAGCGGGGGAAGACAGAGATAAGGATCGAGCAAGGAAAACAAGAATTGAGAGAGAGGGAAAAAGAAACCAATTATGTATGAGGTGGCAGCGGGGAAGATGAGAGAAGGTGAAAACAAGGAATGGGAGAGAAGTCGAGGAAAATGGGATAAATGAAATCTTCAGGGCCGATGTCGGGGCGCGCGAGAGCGGCGGCGAGAGGAACGTTGCACAGTGAGCTTTTGGGGAGGATTGCATTTGTCCGGGTGAGCCTTGAGGAACACATCGAGAGCCGCGCAGTCATCGAGTTCGGAGCCCGGTAGCCAACGGAGGTCTTCGTCGCCCCATCCTCGCCAGGAGGTAAGATATTGCCAGCCGCGGCCGCGACGTCGGGCGTCAACAACCTTATCGACAACCCACTCGTGCACGCCGTCAGCGTCAACAACAGGCCCGGGACGTTCAATCTTGCACGAGGGGTACTTCAAGTCGTCGTTCGGGATAAACTTGCGAAGCAGGGAGGCATGGAAGGAGTTGCACGAGCGAGGGGAATTGGGGATGGCAAGGGTGTAAGAGCTGAATTGGGGACGCGCGGCCGTGACGAGGTAAGGCCCATCCCAGCGGGGCATGAACTTGGCGACACGCGTCGAGCCACGGCCGAGGAACTCGCGCCGGCGATGGAACGTGGACAGATATACGCGGTCACCAACAACGATGGGGTCGTCTTCCCGGCGATGACGGTTGGAGAACTCGGCCTGATCGACCTTCGCAGCAAGCAAATTATCCTGAGCCTCCCGAAACTGAAGGTCAATGCGGCGCAAGAAGTCAGTCGCTTGCTGTGCGCTCAACGGGAGGGAGGACTTAGCATCGGGAGGAGTGGGGGAAATTAAGGGAGGGATAAGCCGCGGGCTGCGACCAAGGAGGAGCTGAAACCCGGAGAAGCCAGTACTGTCGTTGACAGAATTAAGAATATGGAAACGAACGAGTGGTAATGCACGGGCCCAGCCACGCTGCTGACGATCGACATGGAAATGAAGGCATTGATTAACAGTTTTGTTGGTGCACTCGCTAGCACCATCGGTTTCCGGGTGAAAGGAGGAGGACATCTTGAGCTTGATGCCACTGAGTTTGTGGAGAGCACGCCAGAAA